ACAAGTCAAGTTAAAAATTTCGTTAATGAAAATAAAATTTAAAAAAGTTAAAATTAACTTAACTTTAACTTTTTAACTAATTTATGCCCAGGCTTGATAATTACTATAATATGATATAATGKTAAATTCTAATAATTTCTGAATTCATTTTAGACTAATACTTATTTTTATTAGTTTTAAATTTTTATGTTACATGTAGAGATTTTGCAAGAATTCACACCAAAGCATATTATCATTTATAATATTATTTTATTAATTTATGTGTCATACTTCAACAAATCTAAATTATACTAACAAATTATTTATATTTTGGTTGTTATTATATAACTGAAAGTTCAAATAAAAAATAGTGATATATTTTATCTTAATTTATTAACTATACATTTGTTACATAACAAATATATTTTTGATTTATTTCACTATAATAACTAGTGTTTAATATCAATATATTATTTTTCAAATTATAAAAATATACTTTAAATTTTAATTTTATACATACACATGCAAATAATTTTAAATGCACACTTTCAACAAGAGCATGAGATAAAGTTTTAAAATGTGATAAGTTGCGTATTATATTTTACTTTACAACCATTTTTAAGAGGACGCTACACTCGCATGTGTTGTCTCCGTCTTACAAGTAGGTAACATTGCAAAAATTTTTTCGCGCAGGAAAGAACCGAGAATGCTACAGTCATAACTAAGAAAAGAAATTCTCACCACAGATAAAAGGGAATTTCGACTATGCAATGTTGTTTTTATTTTTTTGATATTAGAACTGAAAAAAAGTTTTTCGATTTTGAAAAACGCAAAAATAATGAATTTTGAAACAATAAGAACTTTTTTTCTATTTGTGATATCGAAAAATTGAAAACAACGTTGCGCAGTAAATGTTCTCCTAATTATGTGGTTTGTTTCTTAGTTATAACTGTAGCCTTCTCGGTTCTTTCCCGCGCGAAACAGTTTTTACAATGTTACGCACTTGTAGGACGGAGACAACACATGCGGGTGTAGCGTCCTCTTAATATTAAAATTATTAGAAACCATTAAACTTTTTATGACTACACATGATATTCAAAATAAATTAAATGTTATATTTATTATAAAGTTTGATACATAATAATAATTTTGTAAGTAAAAAGTAATTTATAATTGATGTGCATGCTGCAGTAACTGTCTATATTATTATCTACATTATACATATTTATATATTTATTTATAGTAGACATGGTGTATTTTATCTTACTTATGATTCAATACAATTAGTGAATAATATTGTATACAAAATATATTTATGCACTTATTAATACATAGTTAAAATAAATATATTTAAATTAGGTATATGATATAATATTTTTAGAGATGTACAATAATGTAATAATATATAATTTTATAACCTATTAGAGAGAGAAAACTGTCGAAGAAGAAATTTCGGCTGTATTTATAGCGGTATCGTATCATTTAACAGGAACTTATAAACATTCATAGTAATATAATATGATTTAATAATAGGCAATAAGTAATTAACAAAATAAATGTAATAGAAATACTGTAAGGAGACAATACACAATATAATAAAATAAAACGCATTGTTAATACTGCGCTAGTAATTTGGTATTTTTAAGTACTAAATTTACATAGTTGAGCAACTTGTGATATTGCAAAAATAAAATATAAAACATACAATTACATAATAAGATAGTAAGGTTAAGCCTAGCTTAAAACTAAGGAGACAGGATGCTATGTTTAGAAATGTTTTGGAATGTTGGTATTCCTACTATTATTTATTTGATGGCACAGAATAATAACTTACATGCAAATTAAAAAAATACATTCCATTTATGGACGGCAGACACATTTTAAGGGTAATAAAAATTAATTGAAAACTAAGTCGAGTAAAAATAAACAAATTGAATAATCTTCTAGAGAAATAAAATTATAATCAAAACTTTTGTTAGTAGACCATAATAAAAATTTATATGTTGGGAAAAATAATTTAAATGAAAGTTTTCATATAATACTACCTATTTATGGAAAATTTTAACAAGAATAAACATGACAAAAAGTATAAAAGAATAATAAAGAATAACAATATATATATTTGTTATATGAGTGGGCCATGGTGTTTTCCTATTAGATATTGGATAAGACTATCATCTACTTCTTGTATACATTTTTAATATGTATAGATAGATATACTGCTTAATTAAGGCACTCGTTTTACTTGTGATTAATGATTCATTCAATTGCATAATATCTTATTTAACTTACATAAACTACATCTAATGATTGGATCACATCATATCACAGGAAAATTTAATTTAAAAAATACATATTTATCCAAACAATTACAAAATATTTCATAATCTGTATGTAATATATATAATAAAATAATATTTTGATATATTTGTCATTGGCCAAGCTCTTAAAGCTATTTTTGCTGAACTTGATTGGCAAATAATTAAATACTATCTTTGTTCAAATGATAACCCAACTCAGAATTTAAATAAAACATGCAAAACGTTAGTGAAATAATAACAACATATAAGTTGCATTAATAATTTAAATATATGGTTTGGATTAAGATTTGTCAACAATTTAGCAAATCATGTTTATAATAACATAAACAACAAAACCATAAAAAAAAAAAAACTGATTAATTGTTTTTCAACTGATGTGATCGAAATATTTAAAAGTATATGAAAATTTATCTATAAATATAAAAAAATGAGAAAATATAGTGGCGGTTTAAGAAAAAAAATTTTGTGGCTACATTAAGTCGGTAAAACTTATTAAAGTAAAGGATTCAAATTAAGACTATTTGTGATGATATAAATAATTAAAATAATCATGAGAAAACGCTTCATAGAGAGGGAAAAATATTGCAACAGGGTCAGTGTTTTAAAATAAAATAAAATAAAAAAATAAAATGTGATATTAAAAATAAAAATTATCAAATGATATTGTTCCTACAAGGAATATGGTATTAAATGTTAGGACTTTTTATTATGTGTTTGTTATCCCGAATGGTGACTTGGGTTATGTATGGTCCTTGTTGCAGCGAAGACCTTTGCGGTTGCTGTTGTTGTTGTTGATGTTGATTGTGATGATGGTACATAGCGCMAGTATAGTTGTTGTTGCTGTTGTTGTTTGTCAGCCCTCTATGTTGTAGCTGCTGCTGTTGCATACTATTGTGGCCTTGGGGATCACCGCTTCCATACAGGGCATAGTTTGGCGACTTGGTTGTTGGAACAGGATACTGATGCCGAGACGAAGATTTATGTTTTTGATTACGACCAGCACCATTGTTGTTGTTGTTGTTTGTTCCCGTCACTGCCGTAGCTTGAGTTACACTGCCTACTAAACAGGGTAAGAGCGTGCGTGTGTAGGTGCGTGAGTGAGAGAGATTGAGTGACAGGCCGGCGGCTAAACATAAGTACGGAGGTTGGTGGGAGAGGGGGACAACTCACCTTGTCTTGTCAACGAGTTAGAATTGTTGTCCACCAGACGTGATGTGCCGCCGGTCGTGTACGGTAGAGATCTCATCACACTTTCGTATTCATAATAATTAGAACTAGGTCGTGCAACAGATTCTTTAGGATCACGTCTTTGAGAATGATAGTGCAACTGTCTACGGCTAGAAAAATAGAACAAATACAATTCATACAATTATTTTAAACAGTTGTCAATAAATGTTCAATTATCTTAAGCTCTAAAAATCAGACATTTAAATAAATGAAAAATATAAATTAAGATATCATGATTTTTAGGTTTTAATAACAAAAAAAATGAGTTTTAAAGTGGTCCAATTATTTAAAATAAATTAAAATAACGTGAATTATGTAAAATTAGAGAAGATTAAAAATTAGTAATTACTTTTGGAATGGGTTCAATTTTTTTTTTTGACTGTATTGTTATGTTAATTTTGTGTTTTTGCCCCTAGTAATAAATCTTAACAAAGTCAGAAAAAAGCCTATTTAAAATATAAACAAGCATAAAATATATGAACCTTGATGTCAAATTGTGAGAATGGATAAACACAAGAATTTACAAAAAAGACAATCTTTACTACAAGGACATAAATCTACTTTTATGATCATCGATTTTTAATCCAGCAAAGAAAATATCAAGAAAAAGTGCTCTTTTTAACAACTATACATAGTATGTTGATTTATAGAAATTTTAATTTTTATATACATATAYTTAGCACCACATGTAAATAAAGAAAGTCAAGTAATAATCACAAGTAAAGTCATACATTGTAATACATTGTAATAATAGGCCCACTTAACAATTTTAACCAAATGAGTCATGGCATTTAAAATGTATACATGTTTAATATCAGCATTTTCATTACTACTAATCATGTAAATTGTATTTGAGATATATTATAATTAAAATGTCAATTATATAATAATTTTTTTCTCCAATTACAATAATTTTTTGCACAATGGAGCATTCAAGGTAACAATATAAAAGGATATGTATTACTTGCAACTATTCAGATCTTCAGCAGTTGTATATGAGTGCCAAGACTACACACTACACAGGCTGTTGATTGAGCAACTAATATTTTTTACATGCATCTTGAATGTTCCAATGTATGTAGTTATTATTAAATATGTTTGAATCTGTTGTTCATTCATAACAACAGTCAAGATAGCCAGAATTTGTAAATATGCAAGTCTTTTTAAATGATACATAATATAATGTATTGTAACTTTTATGTTTTTTTAATTATTTAGTATTACAATTTTAATTATTGAAAATAAAATATAAATTAATTGCAATAGTTGCATGAAAACTTGGGTAATTTTACTCTGGAACAATTACCTACCTTTCATCATCAGTATCATAATAGCATGACACAGGTTTTTTTGTTTTGCCGTGATGTCGAAGCTTAACGCCGCGTATTTCATGCATCAAACTACAATCAAAAGTGCAAAGCATGCATGACATGGAAGAAAAATAATAACATTAACACCTTATTCAACACCACAATCTATTATTAATGATGACTAATTTTAGTTTGTGGTGTCTAACACAAATCACCAAAAGTTAAAAAAAAATATTGACAATATAATGACAAAGTTGTTTGGAAGGACTTTTCCTAAACCTGTGTACATTCATAGGACTTTAAAATCACAATCAAGTCAACTTATCAACCAAAAAATGTGTAACATGCAAATATGCAATACATATGTATAATATACCATGTAGTTATTAAGATAACAAATTTGTATGTACAAGTTATATTTAACACCATGCAAACAATAATTGTTCAAATCTTGTATAATTGTTTCTGAATTAAAATTTTTTTTTTAACTCATTGATTATTACCATGCAAAACAAAAAAAAAAAAACCAAATGGTCAGCAAAAAAATTCAAAATTCACATTATGTACTTAGTGAAATAATAACAAACCTAAGATTCTGCTGTATTTCTTGGAAATTGACGTAATGGTTAAATCTAGAAGAATCAATTATACCTACACGACTACCCGGTCGATTTATTGCATTTTGAGTATTACCGATGGGCTAAAAAAATAATAATATAGCATTAAAATAAAATAAGTACTATTTATAATTGATGATAGAAGATACCTGTCGGATATCAGATTCATAATGATTTTCCTCCCTCTCATCAGGAATGAATTTTCCACTACGTTCCATGTGTCTTCTTTGATGTTCAGCTCTAAGTTGTTGGATACGATCCATACGAGATTGTTCAGGATTAGAAGGTTTTGCAGGTACATTTGTATAATTAGCTGTACCATCATCTATGGCTATTTCTCTATGATTTTGTTCTTGCTGTAGTTAAAAAATAGGTAGTAATTAAGTTACTTACATAATAGTTAAAAGTTATCAAGCAAAATAATCAATTTTAATTCTTCATCTTATTTTTTTTTTTCAATTGTTAAAATTATTAGGGCTAGGATTTTGATGCAACTTTTTTGTTTTATAACATAGTATTTCAAGAGAAAGTTGTGTTAGGGGTTCCTGAATATTTTAAGAGTATTTTTTGCTGTTTTTAGAGTATTATTTACAGTTTTTTATTGTGGTGAACATTAATTATAGAGCAAAATGTATTTCATTGATTAAAATAATTATTTTAGTAGAGGTATATAGTGATAAACATAGTGTAGAATATGTAAGTAGTAGATATGTGATTCTAATCGACCACTGTTTTCATATCTATAAATATTTGAAGATGTTAATGTATATATTATACATAAAATATAGGTATTTAAGACGTAAAAATTTCAGTCCTAAATTGTTAAAAATTATTTTTCTAATTTAATTAAATAAATAATTTTGATTAATGATAGATTGATAACCATTTAATTTTAAGTTATCAAAATGTATGATATTTTTTTAATGATAATTATAAATTATAAATTAATGATGATAATAATATCAGAAAATAAATTTTAAAATATTTTAGCTTATTGAAGTTAAATAACTTCACTAAGTGGAAATCTTTATGGCCGTATAGTTAAAGCAAATATAAAAAATTAATGAATAAGGCCCATTTTACATAGGCATGTATTGAGCCGTGACAAGGAGATGGCAAATGGGATAAGTGCCCTAGGTAGCAAAACTTTTTAAAGAATTGAAAATGTTTCAATATGTATACTCGTACTTAATAGGGGTACAAAATATTGTTGACCTAGAGCACCAATGAAAGATAGTACAGTACAGTGTATCATATGTGCACGTTTTTAGTTATATTGGTTAAATTCAAACGCGCGCTACTCCGACAATACACATTACCTCGCTGCAAAGGTGGGCAAGTTAATGGAAAAAATTAACTTTGGCAAGTAAAGTTAATTCAATAAAATTGCCTTCAGTTAAGTAAAAAGTTACAAAAAAAAAGTTAACTAGATAAGTTAAAAGTTAAGATAGAAAATAAAATAAAATTAACTCGGTTAAAAAAAAGTTAATTTTTTTTTTCAAGTCACAACAAGTCATAATGTCATAAATTGCCCTAGTATTTTAATTTATACCTACAAATATTTATCAAGACGCTTATCAGTATTCTAATATTAATACTATTTACTAGTGAAGATTAAAATATAATCTGATTATTATGAATTGATGATATTATAACATCAGAAAAATAAATTACCAAAATCGAAAGAATAAGTTTTCTGTTGGTTCCACGTGATGTATAAAAAAAAAATTAAAATTAACTTAACTGCACCATAATGATAATTAACTTTAAAAAGTTAAGTTAAAACGATAAAAATTTAACTGAATAACTTAACAAGTTGAAAACAAAAATAATTAACTAGTTAAGTTAAAAAGTTAAAAAAAATTAACAAGTTAATGCCCACCATTGCCTCGCTGGTATGGCACAAATGAATATAATCGAAGTTTAACATTGACTAATAATATAGGAACATATGATACATTAATTATGATAGCGCTCATGTGAAAAGTGACTAATGTGTTTCAAAAAGTAAACAATTGTTATATTAATTTTTCATTGATTCATCACTTTAAATACTGTTATTTTGTATGATACTAAATGACATGTTATGAAAACTTAGTGAACAAATACCATTTCTGCCTGTCGCTGAATTAGTCTTTGATATTGTTCTTGTATTCTAAGTTGTTCATCACGAGCATTTTTTCTAGCTATTTCTCGCTCACGGTCAGCAGAATTATCTTCTTCTGAGCTTAAAGTACCGTTTAAGTCTTGACTTCGTCGAGGTTTACTACCAAACCTGAAACATAAAAATGTATAGTAAAAAATTATAGTAAAAAATTATTATTAAATTACAATAATAACTAACCTAAACATGGAACCAATCCCTTTAAGTAGTCCTGGTTTTTTTTTGTTAACAACTGGTGGTGTATTTGTTGATGCTTTGTACTTTGTAGGAGAATGAAGTGAAGACTGTCTGCGTCCAATTGGATGGTCATCACATTCCTTTCCATCTACATTACAACATAATTGATAAAACAAATTAAATTAAAAAATATTTTTTGACTATTAATGTTGTAACAAATCGGTAAAATTAAGTATTTCAAATATATTCTTTTTATCATTAAGTTTTAATATCACAATAGTTTACTGATAAGATATAATGCATCATACCATAAAGGAAAGTTAAAAATACAAAACAGTGAGTTTGAAGTTTGGGTCATCGAAAATTACCATTTAAAAAATATTAACACCATGAGAAATAAAGTTATAACAACTATATACGTAATGTAATAAAATAATTTTTTAATACTTGTATATACATTAAAATCTTTTAACTTAACCTAACGTAGTCAGGTATCATATGAAAATGCTCAAAAATGTCTAAGTGATCATTGAAATAGAAAAATACTTTATATAAATAAACAAACATGTTTCCAATCGCAATTCATGTAAAGACAATGGGCCATCTTTGTCAACAGCAGCTCTAAAACTTTCATCACATCCTCTACCACGTACAACTTTAACATTGCCCCGTTTTGATACACCATCGGTCATTTGGACCTCTTGAACCATTGTTTGTAATGATTCTAGACTGGAAGATTTTTTCAACCCAAGAGAAGGGCCAAGTTGGTGTTTTGATGGAAAACCATTGCCTAAGTAAAATAATTAAGAATACAATAACATAGACAATATTAATAAGTATTATACTAACGAATTTTGGTATCATCTCCACGCTCTTCGCGTAATTTTTTATTTCTTTGATATGTATCAGTATTTTTGGCGTCTAATGTTGCATGACGTTTTTCAGACATACTTTGCCGTCCGAATGCATCCCTTGAAAATCCTGAGTTGGCATTATCCAATGATAATCTTTGTTAAAACAAAAAATACAATTTTATAGTCACAATTATTTTAATTTGTGTTACAAGTAAAGCCCGGATTTTTATTTTTTTTTTATAAATTACAGAGTATATGTAACTCTAATTGGAAAAGATATTTTGATGATTCAATTTTCTATGAAATGGTAAGCAAAATTTTTAGCGCATAAAAAGCATACTTCAAGGTTAAAGTATATTTATTACAAAATTATGTTTTGGAAATATATTGGGGTTTACTATTTTGAAGATAGTATAAAAAATTTAGTGGTTTATTGTAAAATTGTTTTTGACTACTGTCACTCTTTATACCCTTATAAAGATGAAAAGACTTAAATCAATATTAATAAGAACATAATATTGATAAAAAAAAGTATCGATATTTCACTGACATCAGTATTTTTATTATTTTTTGAATTCATAGGCTGAATTATAGGTATGCAACATATGTAAAATATAGTTGAACAGTATACTCCAATATATCATCATAGTATGGATTAAAGATTACTGGATATTTGTTTAAAGATCAGGATTTATTTAACTATCTTATAATTTTTATAAACTGTTACTTTTTTTTTTTTGTAATTAATATATTGTAATGAAATTATAAAATATAAAAATATCTTATTTTTAAGGTTTCTACTGCATTTAAATTCGGGCTCTGGTTATAAGATTAAACATACTGGCTAGCATAAGTCACATCAGTACTAGTTGAACCAGTTCTCGCTTGTGGAGATATGATTGGTGACGGCTTTTCTTCCTCCATTTTTTTCCGGCTAAAAAATTAATGCATATACAAATATTTAAATAAAATTATGGATATAATTAAGCAATTAATTTTAAAATCTTTTCATTGTTGAAAACCAACTATATATTTAATTTGATAAAGCTTTAAACCCTGGATAACATACACCAAACATATTCACGAGAATGTATGTGTGTATAGTACATAACAGTTTTTTAGATAGTTAGATYGTATTTTGATGAACTTTGAACATGCATATAGAAAACAGATATCGTATATAGTTTAGAGTCGTATCTAATTATAGTTTCTTACATAGAATGTAATAATTTATATGATATTATTTAAAATTAGTAAAAATTAATCAAAAATTATTTAAAATTGTCTCTTGGATTAGGAAATGTATATTTTAAGATTAAAATTTCAGGACAGAACTAAAATTATACTTATAAAGTATAAATAAATGATTAAAAGTAGTGAGTTAGACGAAATTCAACTTTAATTTCTATAAAAGCTCGCTCCTTAGACGTTGAACTATTTTTTCATCTCTACAATAATACAGATGTATTTAAAAAAAAAAGTAATACAAAATGTTTCAAACATGCAACCTTGAATATGTGGAAATTTGTTTAATATTTAACAATGAGCACAATATATAATAAATATAGATACCAATAAATTAATTTACAATTTTATGATTATGATAAAATCAAAATAAATATTATACGATATTAATATTAGAACTAAAGTATTAATTTTGGACAACCCAGTATAAAACACAAATAATGATACTTCTAAACACTATCTACACTATGATATTAAATTCAATTTAGATTTAAAGATACTGATTACGTAGTTATGATTTTTCATCATAAATGAAACTAATATGGATGTAATTTATAATCTAAATTGTTAATAATAAATAATATTATAAATTCTTACTTAACAGAATTATAATTGGGAGGGTCTTCTTCAATTATCAGCATCTCTTCTGATGATGGGTTTACAGTAGGGCTATTTAATTTTTCTTCTTTCAACAAAATTGTTGTTTGATGTGTAGCCTGTAATTTTTAGTTAATTTGTAATCAAATTACATTTGTAGTGAATTATTAAATTTAAGTTTACCTTGTAATAACTTTCATTGCGCAATGCATTATAACGATTTGTGTGTCCGGTTAACCTTTCCAAAACGGGATTACGAATTGCAATCCCATCTAAATAAAATATAAACAATTTATTCATGTAAGAACATAATAATTATGTGATTATTAATAAATTAATACTTTTTTTGTACAAATTTTTAAAAATAATTTAATTTAATTACCTGGGGAAGTAGCTGTAGGTAATGTATTCCGTTTTGAATTCTCTGATCCTTGTCTTTGATGCATGAAGATAACAGTGGTATCAGAGTTTTCACTAGTTCCAGAATTGTCTGCTGTATTTTGAGTACTACTATCACTGCTTTCAGCTCGGCTAAATGTTTCAGTGTTTGCTGTTTATGCAATTATAAATAATTATATATCATTTCTTTTAACAATACAAAATAATATTGAATTAGTTACCAGATGAATCTGTGAGTAGACTTGATGAAGAGTCACGACTACGTCTTCTGTTTAATGTAGGAGAACTATTACGTCGGCGGGCTACTATCAATGAGATAGCTCCGGGTACTGGTCCAGGGTCTACATTCATCATAGTTCTACGTAATGTTTCCATAGCTGCTGCATTAGTTTGTCCAATCAACGATAAACCGTTTATATGTAATAGTTGGTCATTAGTACGTAATCTACCATCCCTAAAATGCATGACAATTTGATAGCTCAATATTATACAACTAACATTTATATCAATAAATACCTTGAAGCTGCACCACCGTGAATAACATTTTTGATAAATATACCTAAGTCTTGTGAGAAGTCTTTATCATTAGAGTTATTACTAGATGATGTTTTACCTTTAACACTAATACCTAAACCACAAATATTTATTAGCATGTGAAAAATAAAATAAAAAAGTATTTTACCTAAACCAGCTTTTTCTGAATCATGCACAGGAATGTCAAAGGTCAGTATTTCTTTATGTCTCCAAGGAAATGTTTGTGTTTCTTCTAAGCTTTTAACATATTCCTAAAAAATTATTATGAATTAAATATAAATTGAATGTATACAAACAAAAATTAAAGATATTTTTCATTATGTATTTATTAAACATACCTGAACTGTATTACTGTTAGATTTTTCATTTGTTTCTACTAATTGATTGTCTGATGAAATCCCTACTTCTTGTTCATAATTTTCATCTAGATCCTGGAGAAAAACATCAATCATCATTAAAACCATAAACGTATAATCTCATCACTCTAAGTTAACTTACTTGATTTGATTTCTGGCCTACTTGACTAATTACTACATCTTCTTGTCTAGAAACAATAATTTTAACCTTTGCACCAGATGGAACTTTTCGTAATACAGCAACTGCTTCAGATTGAGTCTTGCCTGTCAATTCTGTACCATTGACTGCCAATAATCGATCACCTGGTCGTAATCGTCCATCTTCTACAGCAGCTCCCTAAAAAAAGTTATGGAATTAATTACATTTTTAAACTAACAGTTTTCAAATATTACTTTTGGTAACACATTTTTTATGTAAATAGGACAATTTCCACCAGCTGGATTATCTCTAGTTGTTATACTAAATCCTAGCCCATGAAGTCCTTTAGTAAGTTCTAATTCTATTTTCTTTCCAATTTTTCTTGTGTTGGCCACCATTAAGATATTGGATGCTGTATGAGTTGCAGCTGAAATTTTTTTAGTTGGCGAAATGGTGGCTATTTTAGTATTTGAGTTAGCTATAACATAGATTAGTACAAATTTATGTCGAGAACAAATTTTGAAAATGTTAAATTGCAATACCTTTATCTTTATCAGATGATACTGTAGATACATTTTCTTTATTACTATAAGTTGCAGTGGTATTTGAGGATGGTTTAGGAAACACTGGTGGTGGTGGCTGTTTTTTGTTACCAGCCGCCGTATTTTGACTAGTTTGCGCATCCATATTATTTTTATGTTTTACCACTCTAAGTCTGAGCTCTGAAGAGTGTAGTGAATCTCGAAATATTTCTTGTATACTGTTATAATAACAAATATTACTAAAATGTATCTTTAATATCTATTATGTTTTTAACTCACGCATTAAATGGTTGATCCAATAATGACCGGCCATTGATTTCGACAATTCGATCATATACTTTCAATCTGCCATCACAATGCACCCGACCACCAGGTTCAATTCCTTGAACCAGAAGACCACGTTCTTTGCCTAGAGCATTGTAATCTGGGACAACATGAATACCTAATGATCCCCCACCAGTGCTTAGCACTATAAATTCCGTGCTAAAAACATATTTATTTATTTTTTTAATTTAATTAAATTTTATTTGATTTGATTAAATACTTTTGTGATTCTGGTAAGTGACTAGGGTTTGTATTTGCTTGGCCCAACGGTTCTTTCCTTCGATGGTCTCTTGGTAATGATAACGATAAGGCTCGATTATTTGCCAAATCAGCTGCCTCTGCCCACCGAAATCCACTAATAATGTATAGATAAATATAGTTAATTTGTTTCAATTTTAAATAATTATGAATAACAAAAAAAAAGTCAAACCTTGATGACTCTCCTAAGAATTGCATTGATAAACGATTGGAAGAATCACGATGAAAAGATGGTGCTAGAAAATGATTGCTAATTGGTGGTTTATCTTTGTCACCTAATTCTAACTCATCTTCATCTTCTTCAGAACACCTCCATTTGTCAGATAAACCAAAACCATTGATTTTCATGTAATCATCCTTAAATGTAAATTATTAATTATGTTATATTAAAAATTATAAGGTTAAAGTTAAAAAAATAATTTGTCTATTAAAACTAAAACGTATTTAATAAATTATATTTATTTAATTTTAAATTACATTAATTTAAAACATATCACATTATGGTGTTTAYTTCTAAAACATACACAGATTTATAATATACAATATTAATTTTAAATTATAATTAATGTGATATAGTTGGTCGATGTTAATAGTAAAATACTATTCTGGGTATTAAATCCGTAGAACAGATATTATATAACCAAAATATTTTTGCTAATGAATATGTTTTAAAAATATTGTATTAAGATACTATCATTGATTATAAATACTATTTAGTATTTAAGTAGGAACAATCAATGATATTATGTTTAATTACTAAAGTAAAATAAACTTCTACCACTTAGAAAATGCAAAAAAAAAAATATTTCAATTGATATAATATATTAAATTAGTATATTTAAATTGTAATTACGCTTCTTAATTTTTCTTTAGGGTCGTGAATCATAGGAGCTGCTGACCATCGTTTAGATTGACCCGATGCAGCAGGCCTAGTATTGCTATTTCTTTTGCCCAAATTGTTTGCTGTATATAAAAATGTAACAAAAAATTACCAAATTTATAATTTAAATATTTTGGTACAAATTACACTTACGGCATTCAAGTGGTAATTGATTAAGAGCTGGTTCACTACCTCTACGGACATGTAAAGCTGGGAAACCACAAGCAATTTGTTCATTAGTGACTTCAATGTCAGTTTGTAATCCATCTCGGCTCTAAACATTTAAAACAACAATATTAGTATATTACTATAATATAATTTATTATTAATTATAATTTGAGTTAGCAAAAACAAAGAATTTTTATAAGAACTACTTTGATTAAAATATAATATGTTATATTATAACATGTTTCAATTAATATTCTTTCTATCTAATAACATTTAACTAGGTACAGCTTTAATTTTGACATTTCCCGTTTGAATTGCGTGAATTCACAGCAATAAAAGCTGCCTTTAGCAGTGATGGTTACTGAGGTTCACGACGCACTTATGAACGACCCCGTCTGTGAGGTCGGATAAAATRAAACTTCATCATACATAGAGTTGCGCAACTGTTTCATTAAATTTTTACTGGGGTTATAACTGGAGTACAAATCTATTTGTATACTTATCAAACGGAAAATTATGAATACATCGTGGTTGTACTGTATCGTTAGATGTGTCTAGAATAGATATCTCGTAGAATATATCTCAAGAAGGGAAGGGACAACAAAAAAATCTTTCGTAAATGTTAAATCCGTGATTTAAATAATATTGAGTGTTTGTATAGGCGCGAGCCTATTGACCCCACCCCTACAGGCGGCCTTTAGTTGAGCCTATAGTTATACGAGGAACTTATAATAATACACACGTAAGTATTATTGTAATAAGAACGACCAACACAGATGTGCGTCTTACTCCAACCGAATAATCCTAGAAAAACGAGCTACATATTTCCATTGGAATGCGGACGCGATGAACATTTTCATGTGTAGTGCACTGCGGATACCGCTGTAATAAATTAATAATTATTACATATAGTGAATATAATTATTCGCACCCCCGACATTGTAACCAAAACGATTGATTCGATCGAAAGTCGGTCGCGGAGAAAATGGCTTACTCGGTCAAGCGGACGAACGTTTTTCTAAGACAGTTGTACGACGATAAATTTCACGATTCCCGACTACCCATTCGTGACGACCTCTGTATACCATATATATAGACGACCGTAAACCATAACCACACGCTGACAGGTATCTAATAAAATAAATCTACAGGTGGGTAAATTTTCAAACAAATATATTTTTGGACTAAAATTATATTCAGCTTCCTCCAAGCATTAAACTATTTAGCCAATGTTTTATTTTTATTAACTATTAAACATAATAATATATGACAAACAGATAATTTATACAAAATAATTGTTAATTATTCAAAGGCATTTTTTGTGCGTGTAAAGTGTTATAAAATCCAAGTGAAATCTTGGTAAATTAGTCACGGTATGCGCCATCCGTAGATTGTTCGTAAAGCAAAATCTGACATTTACTATTTTGTACATTATCGTAGTATTATGTTATTCACTAGGTARTAAGACCTATATTCCTATGTGCCACGAATATGTTAGATCTGCAACAGTATATTATACTGTAGTTGATGGAAATATATGATACATATGTATATGGATACATCTTAATTGTTAATTAAATTGAGTTATGATGAATGCAGACGACAGTTCGAAGTGCTTCTTATCCTTGTTTTTATAATACATTATCTTTTTAACATTTAATTTAGCATAGAATAACAAAAATAGGACATGTTTGCCCATACTGCGCACATGTATTACACGTTTGTCCTATAAATTAGTTGATGTATTACATTTTMGGACTCATATAAATATAATCAGGTAGGTACTTGAACTAGAAAACAATATAATATTACATAACTATGTGTGTTTATGTATTAATATCTTACGTGAAACATATCCGGACTAGAGGTAACACTAGCTCCATCTCCACCACCGTGTTGGTGAGGACTATTGCTATCACCGTCATCATAAAGAGCAACAATTTGTTCTCTATCATCTGCCACATCCCTGAGACGATCATCTGGATCCAAGATACCACCATCACTCTGGGACTGCAAACTGTGGACGGTCACCCATGAATTTGAGCTCTAGAATATATAAAAAATAGATGATTTTAATAAATTTTATATTCAATTAAAAATAAAACATTGGTGATACACTGAACCATTGAATAATGTTATTTTAGTATCCAAAACAATAATGATGACGAATATGAATTTAAAAAAAAATTCAGGTTGATAGTTTCATTCATACAATATTTATTGTTTGTATTTATATTTTTTCAGGTAATATATGTGGACCTATATCTTCACTTCTTATACGTTTATTATGCTTGGTCACTTAGAKAATTTATAAAAATAAGAAACAGCTGATAATTAATAGTACCTACTCTATTAAAGTTTTACGTTTTGTGTTTAAAAATAAATAAAAAACATATTCCAGTCACTACCTCATGTTAATATCAGACTATCTGAGATAATTGTACCATACAATTTGTACATTGGTAATTAAAAAACACATTAATTTTCTAAACTATGAATAAAATAATAATGGTAATTGGTATAAGCACATACTAATAGATTTATAATGGTGAATCATCAAAATTCCTGTTTTGTTACAAATGTACATTTCTACTTAATACCAACGTACGTTGATGTCTACAAATAAAAATAAAATCTAAAATTATAAAATATAGTTAGTACAACATAATATTTAATCTGTATTTTTAAACTAATTTTTTATAAGCAATTACAATAATTCAATAAAAATTAATTAATTTAAGAAATTTATTTCTTTAGTATAGGTTCCTGTACTATTAAATATTAATAAAATAATAATGTTTAATTAAAAAAGTCCAATAAACATAATATTTAAATTTTTGATAACTAAAGTTGTAACAATAACTATAATTATTATGACCGAAGTTATTGTATTTTACTTAAATACACGATTTATGATATAAATTGTATCACAATATTTAAAACAGTTAAAACTTAAAACAAACGCAGTTTTTGTTTGTCTCATCGTCTAAATTCTAATATATCCGATAAATATATATGAGAAAATCTAATAATGAGTTTATGTCACAGACGAAAAATGTCTAGACGAACTACTATAGTATTTTATATATACCTAACCTATGTATAATGTACATATATTTTATGACGATGCACATGTTTATTGTTTACTCATATTTTTCAATTGGCATTTAACATCTTATCAGATTAAGCCCTGGGTAGATTAATCAATATACTGAATATACTTGAAAAATAGACAAACAAATAATCCGGATAATTATTATACATTGCAGTGGTATACAGTTTTACATAATAATATTAGTAACTTTTCATAATATGATGATAGTAATATTGCAATTGTAGACATTTAATTCAACATATTATTAAAAATATTGTTTAAACAGTGATCACTGGTTTATTGGAATTTTAATACGACAAACCACATCGTTTTAATATTTCCCTTATAATAATATTATTAACTTGGTACACAAACCATAACCCGGATGATGTTTAATAAGTAATTATATTAATAATAAATTATTATTTAAAATATCAGATTAGTTGACAGTGATTGATAAAGATTTAAGACGTTTACTTCTAAACCCTACAATAAAATGTTTATACAAATTAATTTTAAATGGCGTGATGATATTCAACCAAAATAATTAAACGCAAGTCGAGGTGCAGCCACATATTATATTGATATTTTGTTAAGCAAAAATTATTATTTGGTCCACAGTTTTAAGTAGGTGTACGTTATACATTTTGATACTGCATAACATACATTATATATATTATTTCACATTTCATAAAGGCCAATGCAATTGTTTTATAGGAATATTCATACTCATTATAGAACACCACAATTTTCAAAATGCTAACGTAGTAAATGATAAGATTTAATAAACTCCCGCATGAATGCATGATATTTATCAGTCTTCATCTTACACAATGTGAAAATAACAATCATAATTATTCATAATAATATAGTATGTTATAAAAAATATTTAAACTTGAGATCTCTGCGAGTATTATAATATCTCTGCATTGCGTACGCATGCATATTTCATACTTCAACGGGAAATTAATGTTATCGTCGTTTATAATTTATTCAACCTAAAAATGCGTTTTTTCTTTACATTGCCGTGGTTAAAAATCATTGAATAATGATAAAATTGTTTAACAGTTATATAATACTTTTAATTTTAAATACTAAAATATCAATACATTTACATCATCTGTTGAAGTACCTAATATAACAAGTTTAATATTACTCTAGACTTTTTACGCAAAACATATAATTGTTTTAAAAAACACAAGTAGGTATCATAACTTACAAGCATATTGATATATCGATATAAGTATAATTAGGTATTAATCATCCTAAATACAGTATATAAATTATTGATGAAATAACGACAGTAAAATAAATTTTATTATAATATTGTTACCTATAATTTATAGAAACAAATCGTTTATTATTTTTATGCTATGTATAAAATTTTAATTTATTTTAACTGGTACCTTCACGAGTTTAAGATATGGTTAATAATATGAAAAATATGTAGATACCTACTGTAGAGAAACAATTCTTTAATTTGTATGCATTATTGAATTTATAAACGTGATATAAAACACAACACATTTCTATGCATAATGCGGTTATTAAAGTGTAAAACGTTTCAAAATGTTTAAATACCTGCCTAATAGATTTTTTCATTTATATAATTTGCATAATTAGTTTAATTTGGTTTTAAATAAAACARTAAAAATGTAAATCATAAGAAAAATTTAATTTAATTCTTCTTGATAAAATAGATTCCACGCTCTCGTAATTGTCCTATACCTTGAGAAGTTTTTGATTAATAAATATGGAATGGTTTTACAAAATAAGTAGAATATCATAATTTTTGCAGGAAAGCAGGTTTTACTAGCATCGCTTTATAATAGTTTATCTATCTTATTATTATGTACGTATGTAAATTTATAATAAATTAGTTCACTATTGCTTTAAAATGTAAAAAATATTAAATAAGTCATAGTCTGCTGGGGGTTAGTTACTTAGTTACACGACGAATGAAGTGTGACTACAATGGTCTCGACTCTCAGTTAAAAAACTATTTATTAATGGTTACAATTAAGAAATAAAAAAAATTGTATAGGTATAATAATAATATATATATATATACGTAATACGTAGTGTGTATATATTATTTGCAAAAAAATTGTAACTGCAGAAATACCTCGCCAGGATTGATCGATGATAATTTATTGAGTTGTTGAGCTTTTTGAACTTGATAGGTTTTTCTACGTCCAAATACTTTGGCCAATTTTCCAATGACAAATGCGCTTCGTTTACCACAGTTGCAATTTTGATGAGATGAACAGTTTTCCAACATGATAATGACATTATCGACGATATACACAACGATTGTTAAAACCGAACTTCTACAACAGCAGAATCGCACACAAAAAACGGACCATACGCTAAGTATACATAGCAATTTAAAACGTGAACTCTAAATACATAAAGTACAAATTAAATTACTATTTTTTTATTTTGCTGCTTGAAACAGTTTTTTTTAACAGACAGGCAAGGACGTATATGAGCTTGAAACAAACATCTGCAGTTAATACAGCATGTACCTATACAAGTACATATACACCTATAATTTTCCCTATAAAAACAACAAATACTTTTATCTGTTTACAATTACTCAATTTAGAAATAATCCGTTTAATATAAATCCATATTATATTCTAAGTATATGCTAAAATAAATTGTAAAGATTAAACTATTAATAAAAGATAGTAAATTGTACAATTTAGTTTAAGTAATTTAAGTATGTAATACAAGCCGATGTTTATGTTATTGAGGTTTAAACTCTAACTTTAATTAAACATTATTTGAAGATGTATACGTATATAACACAATTTTCATTTTAAGAATAATCGGAATGATTTAGTGCGTGAATTTTTCACTAAAATGTCTGAAATTTATCATCTTAAAAAAATGTATAAATGTAGGTGGATACAATGTACAAATTATTAGATTAATGTTTTGTTTATATTTTATATTCCAATTAAAAATGAAGGTAGGTACCAACCTTATATTTATTTTAAATTGAGTACATATTTATAGTGTTGGTCTCGTGAGGCCGTAAATTTTGTATATTAAAATTTGTATTCAAAAGACGTATAGGTAAGTAGTTAAATAACATTAACAACAATGGAGTTATACGTAATCATTTTTTTACAGCCATCTGTCACCGATGTGCCTACCACAATTATTATTATTTTGTATTATCGAGTAGTAAACCCCGATTTAGCGTTTAATATATACCCAGAAAGTTCATTTATATGAATAAATATAGGCAAGCTATTTTGCTGAGAAAAGGATAGTTAATAAGTTTGTAGGTCTAAATTATTAAAGCAAGTAATTTATAATACGTTATAAATGATAATTTATTATATAATGTATGAAAATGGCTATCAGGTACTTAAAAAGTGTACTTAAAAATATATAAAATTTTGATGTTATGCCTTAATTGTTTGTACTTCAATTTATTAATTTGGTTTTAAAAAAGTRCCTAATCGAAATTATTTATAAACGAAAATCACATATTCCTATGCGACAACAGTATTTTTGGTTATGCGTAGATGTAAGGTTTTTTAATTTGTCAAATTTGTCAATAACATTATAATAGATAACAAAACTACGGTGAAATGTATTTATCAAGGGCAAAC